AATAATAAGCTTCCTACAATTCTACTAAAGGAACATTCCCAAAGGAGACCAGAAAATGTTTCTAGAAATGTTTCAAACGGAAAATTGTTTTCTAAAAATTCCTTATTATCACCAGATTTTTAAACAAACATTTCCAAAAATTCTAAAATTATGTTAAACTTCCTCCATTAAGAAGTCCTTCATTACCACATGATTTTCAAAAAAATATTTGTAGAAGCTTCCAAAATAATAAGCTTCCTACAATCCTATCAAAGGAGACCAGAAATGTTTCAAACGGAAAATTAATTTCTACAAATTCCTTATTATCACCAGATTTTTAAACAAACATTTCCAAAAATTCTAAAATTATATTAAACTTCCTCCATTAAGAAGTCCTTCATCACCTCATGATTTTCAAAAAAAATATTTTTAGAAGCTTTCAAAATAATAAGCTTCCTACAGTCCTACCAAGGGCGACCAGAAAACGTTTCTACAAATGTTTCAAACGGAAAATTATTTTTCTAAAAATTCCTTATTATCACCAAATTTTTAAACAAACATTTCCAAAAATTCTAAAATTATGTTAAACTTCCTTCAATAAAAATTCCTTCATTGCCACATGATTTTCAAAAAAATATTTGTAGGAGCTTCCAAAATAATAAGCTTCCTACAATCCTGCCAAAGGAACATTTCCAAAGGCGACCAGAATAAATCTCAACTTGGCTAAATTAATTTAATCTGGTTTTACGTGCTTAACTAGAATTCCTGTATCCCCACCTGACAAATCCCTTAAACACGCTTGCAAGAAGCCCCTTTATAACCTGAAATAAGAAAACCGGGAGCAGCAAGGAGCGCGTCAAGTCTTCTATCGCGAAGACAAGATTTCCAACTTAAAATCCTCAACTGCCCCGGCATTCCGCCTCTGCGACAAAATTCCATGCCCAAATGGAAGCTTCTCGGCTCCGCGGACCTCAGCGAGCACGCATTAGAAATCCATGCGCGAGCGTGTAATCTCGCAAGGCGGCGGTTAACGCTTCCCTGTCGCTTCTGATTCATAGCTCGGTGGACCAGCTCTGCCCACGATAAACCCGCTCGTTTCCCGCGCGAGTTCCAGCTGGGCCAGTCGCGACAATGCCATGTACGTCGAGCTGATCGCGGCTGGTCGAATGCTCCTCGTCGCGGGATCAACCCTTAATTACCTGCTGATGCGCGTCTACCAGCGTCGTAATTCGCCTTAACAGCCTTGGTGCACGCCAAACTGGCGCGACCTGGTAACACCCGCTCCGAGCGTCCTCTCCGTGCGGATTCCTCTCGCGAGGGTACTCCTCGCGAGCAGTCTTCGCCGTCGTCTAGCGATCTAGACTCTAGATCGTTCTACCGAGATCGCGAACTGCGATGATTCTACGCGTACGACTTACCAGGGAACGAAAGCTGTACGAGCTATATAGTCTATCTGTATGCACGTATATACCCGTGTATGTACATACCGCAGCGTGCTAGAATATATACGTGTTCTATGTATATATATATATATAAAAAAAAGAAACAAAAATCGGGAGGTGCAACAGGGGATGATGCGACTAGGTACGGGTGTGCAGGATGCGAGGGTCGGGGGTGTGAAAACATCAAATAAGAAGAAAACCAAAGATTAATCTTATGATAGTATAGCTTTATTTTAGACTAGAACGGAAAAATAATATAATATTAATAATATAAAATAATAATAATTAATAATAATAATAATTAATAATAATAATTAATAATAATAATAATAAACTATATACACAAGAATAGTAGGGACCGACATACAATAACATTGTTCATACGTGTAACTGTACTAACACGTGCGTGTGTGTATGTATACATGTGCCTGTGTCTATTTCTCCTGTGGTGTCACATGTGTATGCACAAGTGTTTCTGAATTTACGTGTGTCTCGTGCGTATATCTGTGTCTCTGTGTGTCTGTGTCTGCCTGTGTTGATTCGACGTGTAACGTGTGCGTGTCGGCGAAGAAAAGAAGCTGAGAAACTGAGCCACACCCTCGTCGGCTGCGAGTACGATCTCCGGAACGCGCGTGCCCGATCATGCGTTACTTCGTTGAAAATTAGCCTATTCGTCGCGATGTCCAGGGAACAAGGATCACGAGGATTCCTCCGGTCAGCCGCGGACGTGGTACCGAGACCAGATCGTCGCGATCGCACGCCCGATGACGCTGACCAGAGTCCCAACGGACCCAGCGGACCTAGCAGACCTAGCAGACCTAGCCTCCCGGCGCGTGAAACGGGATTTAACGTGTCTCGGATATTAACACCGACATTGTTAATACCCAGAATGCATCTGTGTGAACCTGGACGAGTGTTTTGTCCGACTGAACATCGGGAACGTCGAGCCTGGGCGTCCGGCACCGACCGAGTCGGGCACCGACGCGGAAAAGGCAACAGGCCAGCGTGAAACGAGATTTAATATACTCTAAATATTAATATTAACATTATTAATATACAAGATACATTCGTGTCAACCTGGACGACTGTTTTGTCGAAGTGAACGTGGAGAACGACGAGACTGGACGTCTAGTATGAGAGAAATGAAATACTGACACAGGGTAGGCACAGTGCCAACATCAAACGGGACTGGATATATTCTAAATATTAATATCAACACTGCGAATATACAGAATGCATTCGTGTCAACTTGGACCACTGTTTTGCTCTGATTAGATATCGGGGATATCTAGATTGGACGTCTGACGCGTATGAAACCAAAGATTGACACAGGGATAGGCAACCGTGCCAGCGTCAAACGGGACTTAACGTGCGCTAACCATTAATATTAACATTATTAACATACGAGATGCATCCGTGTCAACTTGGACAGCTGTTTCATCCAGCTGAACGTGGAGATTTCGTTGAGATTCGTTGAGATGAAACCGAGCAACGACACGAAAGAAGCCGAGGCTAGATTGGCGACAGAGCTAGGTCCGCGGATCGCGTTTCGTTCTAGCGAATAGGTGGCGACACTGTGGGACTCGATGGAAATTGACGTGAAATAAGAAATGAGACGAAGTGACGGGGAGAGTGGGGGAGGGGGGCGTAGAGAAAACAAGAGAAGCGTACGTTGGGTGTCAGGATGTTCAAGGTTGGCACGCGGTCGAGTCGAATCGTTCGCGTGGGCAGACGAGAGTGTGACTATCACAAAACGATAAGACGTGAAAGAGAGACAGTTTGGGGCACGGGGCTGGGGGGGGGGATCATAAATAACTAACGCATAAAACAATAATAATAATAATAATTAGTAATAGTAGTAGCCCTGATTAAGATCGATGTCGTCGTAAGAATGGCAAAATAGGATTCTCTCGCGTCGCTACGATGGTGGAGAGGGGAGGGGGGGAGGGGGGACAAAAATTGTGCGATGCGGTGACAAAGAAACAGGTTCGACTGGGTATTGACGCGTGCTTGTGGATGTACGTACGAGATGATTCAGAATGGATTTCACGTTTTATGCGTGGACGACTTGGAAACCGTAGAGGGTCAAGAAGTATCGATCACGATCGAGATGTCGACGAAGTTTTTCAAACATACAAACGTTGAATGTAAATTGTACGTGCGAAGCTCGAAATAGATTCGCGACATTTAAAAATGGCGAAGCAGTTGCGACGTATTCGAACCATGAAAATTAAGGATTAATCGGAAATGATGAAAACTTGGAAAATATTGTTTAAATAGCGCGCCGCACGTGTCGGTTACTTAACTAGGTAAACGAGCAAGACTATTGTTACCGAATCACCGAAAGAAATTTTAATCGACGATTCTCATTTTCCATCTGCATCGCTCGCGACACGAAATCACAGTGTGCAACGAACAAAGTGAAGCCATCTAGCGTCTAACGCGGAGTAGCGTCAGCAGCGCGCTCTAGGACGCAACGGCGCGAAATTTGAAATTCCAAATACGCGAATCGATATTCTAAAGAAACGCGCAACACGATTGCGACGTAATTTTCAAAAATCAATGTCCACTTATACTTCTATCGCCTGTAAAATTCAGCAACGTTCTGCTCGATGAAAATTTCTGCGTAAGAAATAAGAAAGAAGATAAAAGGGGAAATGGAAATCCATTCTGCGTCGCTCTGTACCCACGTACTTACGGATAACGCGTGTGTCGTTCGTCACGAGAGAGGGGGATTGGCCTCTCTGGCGGTCGTTACGGTTCGCGGAGGCCAGAATCGGGACCGTTCGAGATAAAGGGGCCCTATCCGGGCCTCGGATAACAGCGAGGGCTTAGCGAAGTGTATTTACAGTGAACGCTTCAGGCTCACGCAAGGAAGGGAGTCACTGAACGTAAGATGACACGGTGTTGGAATGGCTTCGCGGCTATGCATAATGACGACGACGACTACGATGATAAGTATGACGCAGTATCGTAGAAAGGGTAAAGGGAGGGGGGGGGGCGAAGATAGGGGACGATATTTTCGCTACGCTATGTAGGAATTAAAGGCAATGTATTCTCCGTTCTTTCTGGCTATACTATAATGAATCAAACGCTTCGAGTAATAATCGAAATGGATAGTACTAAGGATCCATTATAAAATATAATAATAAAGTTCGTAATAATTTGCAATATAGTCTTTAACTGTACAGCAACTTATAATCGAGACGCAATATTTTTTTTTCTTCCTTCTCTTCTTCCATTTCTCTATCTCTCCTCGTCGGCGACGAACGGTTAATTAGAATTAAAAGGTTAATGCTTGATACATCTCACGCATCACGGCACACTCGACACTTGTACGCTCTTCTATCACCGCTCTATCCGTCTCACTCGCACGCACACGCACACGTACACACGCTCTATCGTTTGCTCTCGTTCGCACTTTAGTCGCGTTCTCCCTTACGCTAGAATAGTCATCTGATAGGAACTTTCAGTATTGCCTAGCTCTGGATATATTATATTCGCACTATACATAGATAAAGATTAATCGAGATTTCTTTCATTTCTCTCCGTTATAAATTCCGTAATCGACGGGCCCCCTAGAGTATCACACGGGCCAAATTATACAGTATGCGTACGTATACACGCGGTAAAGGGACACGTGCACAACATACAACGACGCTGACTCGCGCCGGGGTTCGAAATTCCTTATCACGAACAAATTACTCGTCTACTCGAAGAGGGGGAAAGAGAAGAAGACGAAGAACGAAAGGACAGGGAAGGGGGACGAAGACCGAAGTCGCTATAGCGTTTGATCGAGACGCGAAACAGGCAGTTGACAAGCACCGACCTGGGATCATCGGGACACCGCGAGTCCATTTCGAAAAGAGGACGAGGAAAGAGGAAGGATCTTCCTGCCCGCGCATCTACCTACACGATCAGCGGAATTTCGAACGAGACGCGGGCCAAACGATCGTTTACGAGTCTAAGAGGTCAGCCAGACACTCACCGGCCGTGGTGGTAGCCGTGCTAGCCGCTGCGGCGCCAGGGTGTTGCTGTTGCTGTGGCTGGAACATCGCCGTAGGATGGAGGAACAAGGATCCGTACATCATGTTTTCGTCCGATTGCTGCTGCTGGCCGGCTTGCTGGTTGCCGGCCCCGACCACCGGCGAGAGTCGGCGGCACGAGGCTACCTTCCTCGACGGCGACACGCACCGACTCGATGTGTCGTCGTGAGAATACGTGCTCCTGGAGTGGAGACTTGGCCGAGTATCGGACCGAGCAGAGTCTACATTCGTCGGGCCCGGTCGGTCCACGGTGCGGTTGGACGGCCGAGCCCTCGGCTGGCAAGCCTGCCGCCAGCCTAGCTTTCTTCTCCTTGGCGCGGGCGTTCTGGAACCAGACCTGCAACTCCGCTCGATTAGATCGTGGAACTCGTGGTCGAGAGACATCTGAAGCAATTAGAGCGACTGTTACTCAGGTGGTGAATTTATCGCTCTCTGTCGGGTGTGATTGCATGACTGACGCGGATTACGTGGCTATAGTTCCCTCGCATGCTCATAGAAATTCGGAGATTTCGTTGTGACATGTTCAGCTGAACGAAATACTTCGAGATCGAGAGAAAAATTAAGAGCAAAACGAGACTAGCGACGTAGACGTACACTCGTGCGTGAAGGAATTCGAACGCGTTTGCGCATTTGCTGATTTTAGACTGTGATTTGTGCCGGGTAAACTGAGCAATTCGACGATGTATAAACTATTTGTAATATGTATACCACTGGTGAATTAAGAAAATTGCATCATTAATTCAGAAATGACAGTCGTAAGGCGATTTGGCGCTTAACTCACTAGCGCCACCACGACCCGTATCTCCGATAAATGTGTAGTGCGTTCGAGAAAAGTTGGCAGAGTGTGTTTTTGTTAGATCTATATTATCGACGATCTTAAATCGCGACATCTTTCGTTAATTGTTTGAACGTTACTGTATTGCGTGTAGTGCGTATGGTGCGTGTTGTGTGTATCCAGGACCTAGAGTGGCAATCGAGCCAGTTCGTATTGAGAATCCGTACAGAGCAATTCTGAGTATATTATTTTCTATCCAGTATATCCACTGTGGCACAATATTACAATAGTTTTCATCCTCCCGACTGTAGCTAGATAGAGTGAGATACGATACGGCTTTCTGTTTCATAATAACTTCAAAGACTACGCTGATTCTGCCATATCCTATCTTACTTAGTCTCGCTATAGCCTGCCGATGATTTTCGTCTCAGTTTTCGGCTAATAGCTGTCACTGTCTGTAATCGAGGGAGTGTCAGTGAAGTTAATCAGCCGCGAGGATGAAAACACGCTGTGCTATTTCTTCTCGAACGCACTATACATTTATCGGAGATACGGGTCGTGGTGGCGCTAGTGAGTTAAGCGTAAGATCCACTTTCGGCTGTCATTTTTGATTTAATGGTACAATTTTCTTACTTTGCCAGTGGTATATTCAGTTCTCTTCTCGAATGCACAATACTATAGGTAATATGTACGTAATTTTGGGATTTCATCTTTGCTATATATCTTATTAATTAAAATGCGAGCGTTCGAATGCTTCTATACACGAGTGTAGAATAAGCGTAGATTAATTTTTGAACGGAGTTAGCGTGTCGAGATGAAGGTGCAAATGAATGTTTAGGATTCGATAAACGGGTGTTAATGCTCACCTGAACCACGCGCTTCGGCAGGCCGATTTCTCGTCCGAGCATCTCGCATTCGGCCATGGTTGGAGTCTTATAGTCCGAGAAGAGCGACTTCATCACCTTGACTTGGGTAGCCGACATCTGGGTGCGATATCTCTTGCCGCTGGATTGGCCTGTTCCGCTGCCTGCGCCGGCTACTGGCGGGCCCGTGGCACTTCCGGTCCCCGCAGAAGCGGGTCCCTGTCTGGAGCTCTGTGTGCTCGAAGCTGGACTAGCCGGTCCGCTCTCGTCGTCTAGGAATTCCGTGGTCTCGCTCATGCTGTCGTCGTCGCAGATGCTCCGTTCGGAAAGATCGGTGAGCGGGCCGCAATCGCTACCGCCGCGGAAGTGTGCGCCGTGTTGCTCCTCGAGGAGATTGCTCAGCCCGCCGAGGCTGAGTTTCATGGGGCGGCTGAGGTCCACCGGTTTGCTCAGATCCAAAGGTGACTCGCCGCTGTTGCTGCTTGCCTGATGGTTCACTGTCTCTTGCTTGCCGTTGCTGGCGTGTGCCTGTAGCTCGCTGATGTATCGTTTCATCGACTCCTCGTAGTACTTCTTCAGCGACGCGTCCATGTCGTTGAAAGTTGGGAACAACGGGGGCATCATGTTGGGTGTGCTCGGGTTCGACGGAGCTGACTCCATGGAGAGTTCCTCGTCGGGGATATTATCGATATTCACTTCACCACGGGCGACCTGGTCGGCGTGTTTGCTGCTGAGATGCGACTCTAGAGCGGATTTCACCTTGAACAGTGCTGGACAGAACGGACAACGTTTATTGATCACCTGACTGTGCGCGCGGAACTGACCTTTTCGTTCACGGGCGCGTGTATTCTGGAACCAGACTTGAACCACGCGCTTCTTCAGACCGACCTCGCGAGCGATCGTCTCTAGCATCTTCCTCGACGGATTGGACTCTACCTGGTACTTCTGATACAGATAATCCAGCTGCTCCGGCAGTATGGTCGTTCTCAGTCGCTTGTCTTTGGGCTGTTCGTTGTGCTCGGAGTTGGAGCGAGTCTCACCGCCTGTTCCCTCATCGAAATCCTCGTACTTTCTCTTTCTGTCCTGCATCATCGCTATCAGCGGATGAGGAGTGTCCGCGGCTACCCCGGAGGTAGCGTTCAGTGCCTGTTGCTGTAGAATCCCGAACGGCGAGTCTGGTGGATAAGCGGGTGGGAACAGGGACGGGTTCATGATATGTACCAGCTGATGCTCGCGCCACAGCTCGAATCGGCCGAACATCAGATTGCATTTGTCGCACTGAAAGCTGCCCTCTTTCGACTCAGTCTGCGACTGCGACTGTTGCTGCTGTTGCTGCTGTTGTTGTTGCTGCTGCAGCTGCTGCTGCTGTTGCGACTGGGGCTGTTGCTGAGGCTGTTGGTGCGACTGTCCCATTGTCTGCTGCTGATGATGAGGGGACGTGGTGGTGTTGAGCGGTTGCTGCAGCTGTTCCGCGAGAGCGGGAGCGTTCGCGGGGTTGCTGGAGACGGCGTTAGCAGTGGTGGTGGTGGAGCTGCTGTTGCTATCTTCGGAACTGAGAACCGCGGCTACTTGGGCCGCGGCGGCCTGCGCTTGGGCGCTCCTCTTCGCGTCCTCCTCCTTGAAGCAGTGCGTCTTCTGATGACGTATGAGCTCGTAGTATCTCTGAAACACCAGCAAACACTTCTTGCATTGGTAATTCAAGCCTGGGGTACGCTGGAAGCGGCCTGAACCGTCGTCGCTCTCGCGGCTGCCCGTTGTCACTGGCTCAGCGGCTGGCTGATTCTCGTACACCTTTCGTGCTTTCTGTCTAGCGTTCTGGAACCATACCACGATCACGCGCGGGCTCAATCCGAGCAGCTTGTTCAGATATTCCAAATCGTCGTCCTTCGGGTACGCGTTGTTCTCGAAGAATTCCTGAAGTACTTTGATCTGATAGTCGGTGAATCTTGTACGATTGGCCCGTTTCCCGGAGCTGCCACCCGACGAGTTGCTCCCATTCCCGCTCCCACCGAACGAGTAGTCGGTTGGTCCACGGCCAGGGCTTAGGGATCTCTGTGGCGTCAGAGCCATCGCTGCGATGGCGCCTGGGACCACGCTACCTGCGCCGGGATTAGGACTGGCGAAGTTCTGTGGCGCCAGTTTAGGTGGAAGCATAGGGGTGCTGGGCGCGTTGGTCGTCGACGAAGCATGCGACGACACGTCGTGATGAATGCCGGAGAACACGGAGCTCATGCTGAGCGCCGGTGAATGAGGTCTGGACTGCTGTCCACCGGAACTGCCAGGAGAGTGGTGCTGCTGTTCTTCTTGATGCTGCGACTGTTGCTGCACGTGGCATTGCGGCTGTTCTTGAATCTCCTGCTTTATCTCGCTGGCCTGCGATGCGTTCACCGTGCTCGACGGCGGTGGAGTTGCCTGTTTGTTCGGGCTTTTGTCGTCGGAGGAACTGCTTCCAGATACGCTAGAGTTCAACGGTGTCACTTTCGCCTCTCCGGTCTTTTCGTACTCCTCGAGATTCAGAGTGGTGCTAGGCGGATTGTTGAAGTTGTAAGGGCTGTCCTTGTTACGCTGTCGCTCTTTGAACAAGGTATTCCTGAACCAGTGTTTGATCACTTTCGGCGGTAGCCCGCTCTGAGCCGCCATATCGAGAATCTGCTCCTCGCCGGGAGAATTGTTGATGTCGAAATGTGCTCGTAATATCTTTAGCTGTTCGTCGGTTATGCGCGTTCGCGCTCGTTTCTGCGAGGCAGCCGCGTTAGCCTGTAAGAAAAGGTCGCCTATGCTTTCTTTCGTGTTCGCAAATTCGAGTACGATTTACCACGTTGGTATTCGCTTTGAGAGAGTCTGCATCTAATTCTCGGTTTACGTTCTAACATTGCAGTTTCTCGTTAACTTTCCCTATCGTTAGAAACTAGGCAATTGTGTCAGAGAAGAGAATCAAGAGAATCACAATGACGGCAAATTGAAATGAAAAATTTTTGTAGAAAAGATCTCGAATTATTGAATAATTTATACTAAAAGCTTCTTATCTTTTAAGAGGGTTCTTTCAATAGTATAGACACGTTTCGTAACCAACTATCTAGGGTATTTTGGCAGAGAGATGATTGAACTAAAATGATTACCAGTATGACGCGTTGACCCTTTGCGAATAGGAGCAAAATTTCTTCCAAAAACGATTTAGATCAGAGTATACGGTACTAAACTGCTTGCATTTGACACAGATATATGTCTAGGATCGTTGAAATACTATTATTACAAGCACCGTTCTCAAAGGGTCAACTATCTACCGCGATTCTCGAGAAAATGACAGATGTAAACGAAATAGAAAATTCGCATTATCGAATCTAACGCAGAGAAACAACGATATGGTTGGTCTAGATCAAGAAATAGAAAGCCTCGAATACTCTAAATGAAAAGTAACAGTAGAATAACCCTCGGAGGCATAAAATAGAACTGGACGAAAGAATGACAAAAGTTACTCACGGCTGCTGCTTGTTGCTGCTGCAAGGCGAGATGTTGCTTGGCCAGGAGATCAGCTTGAGCATTGATAGGCGGATACCCGGTGGCTGTGCCATCGTACGGCGGTGGTGGTAACATCATGGGCACCAACGGTGGTTGTAGATTCATGGCAGCCAAGGCAGGAACGTTCAGTCCAAGTGGCAAACCCATCATGCCCATCATCAGACCAGGGTACTGTTGGAGCTGCTGCTGCAACTGGGACGCAGCCATTGCATTTAAAGCAGCTTGCATCTCGGTCATCTGCTGAGCCAGAGTCAGCTGAGCGTGTTGCTGTTGCTGTTGTTGCTGCTGCTGCTGCTGTTGGTGCTGCTGTTGCTGCTGCTGCTGCTGCTGCTGCTGTTGCATGTGATGCTGAGTATTGGTTTGCAGCACTGTGGGCGTGGTGGAATCGGTGCTCGACACCGGCGTGTTGCTCAGTGCTGGAGTGGTTGCTGGCGTGGTAGACGTAGCCTCTGGAGTCTTACTGATACGATCTTTATTCTCCACGATTTCTTCCTTTTCCTTATCGCGGTGCTCCTTATCCGATGACAGATCTTGCGGCTGAGCGGAGGCCGGCGTCGAGCTTCTGGGCCCAGATGACGTGGATGAAGACGTCGCGACAGTCACCACGACGAGCTGACAGGTGCTTCTGGTCAGTTCAGGTATAACATCGTCGTCGGTGGGTTCCTCGGCTTCCTCTTCTCTCTCGCGAGCAGCTTGAGCAGCCAAAGCCTGTTTCTGTTGCTCCTGTTTCTGTTGTTCCTGCTGGGCCTGCAGCGCAGCAGCGGCTTCTTCCTCCTTGCGCTGACGTCTTTGGTGGTTTTCGTTGAACTGCATCACCAGATCGAATCCGAAGCTCTCCAACAGGTGCTTGTACATCTGCGACGTCTTGTGACGAGGCTGAGACAAGATATCCTGCGTGGTCTGCGAAGAGTGCTGGGTGCTCTGTTGCATGTGCTGCTGGGGACCAGGAGTGGTGGATGTCGGAGGTGGCGTTTTCGCGGGCGTCGAAGCGAGCTGCTGCGACGCAGCCAGTTGCTGGAACAGGGCCAACGGGTTGCTGAATATGCAGTAAAGCTGTTGGTGAGTGGCGAGTTGCTCCTGGTTCACGAACAGAGCACTGCACCGAGGGCAAGAGAGCATCGTTCCGCTGTTCCCCGAGGTGCTGGTGTTAACAGGTGGACTGTTAGGGCTACTCGGCGGAGGCTGTTCGATCAACGGACGAGCTAGGTCGAGTTGACCACTGGCAGCGAGATCTGGCAGTTTGCTAGCCCTGGTCTGATGCAGCACGCTCCTCATGTGGATGTCCAGGGTGCTGCCTTGAGAATAGGCCACCTTGCAGATGTTACACTTATACGGCTTCTTGTCCTGATCTTGCTGAGAGTCAGGCGACTCTGTCGGGCTGGCAGGCGGTACCACTGAGATCAGCGTGTTGTTGTTACCCTGCTCCTGCATGGCTCTCTTCAGTTTATGCAGATGGCTCACGCTGTTGTAATGAACCAACAGGATATTCTTCTGAGTGAAGCTCTCCTTGCACACGTCGCACTTGTAGGGTCTATTCGGGTCCAGATATTTCTCCATGGGATAGGACATCTTCTCCCCCTTGCGATGCAGCAACGTCTTATTGTGCCCGGTGAGGTAACTCTGTCTGGTGAACGCGACCTTGCAACGATGACACTTGAACTTCCTCCCAGGATCATGGTAAGAATCCTCGGCGACCGGTTGACTGTTCAGATAATCCTCCAAGAGACGCTGCTCCTTGTGCAACGGTGACGAGTCGCTCGCGTCGCTCTCCTCCTCGTCAGCCTTACTCGTGTCATCCTCCACGTTCTGCTCGCCGACCAAGCTACCCTGCCTGCGCAGAGCCTCCTCCGTGAGCGCTTGGAGCAGCGGATGGGCGTGCAACAGGCTCTGCTTGTACTGCGCCAGCTCGTCCTCGTGCAGGTCCGCGTGAGCCGACTCCAGGTGTCTCTGGAGGGCCTGGACCGAGCGAAACGATCGGCCGCAGAGGGCGCACTTGGTCGCATCCCTGATCGCGTGATACTGCGAGTGCTGCTGCAGCTTCTCCAGGGTCTTGAACGCTAGGCTACACTGTCCGCATCGATACTTGTAAACGTGTTTCTCACTGACAGCCAGCGTGGGTGTTGTGGCCGGATGGGTCTCCCTGTGATGTTGCTGGAGCTCCTCCAACGAGCGGCACACGCGTCCGCAGACGGTGCATCTGGTGATCTCCTCGATCTCCTCGTTGGCCCCACGCTCGCTCATGTCCTCCTCCTGCGGCTGTTTGGCGGTGGTGGTCGGCGACGTAGGCATAGCCACCGCCGGGGTCGAGGTGTTTCGCGGATTGTTGTTCAGCCAGTGGCTCTGGTCCACGAGCAGCAGCAGCCGTTGTAAGCCGTCCGCGTTCACCGAGTGGATTTGCATCACGTGCTTCTCGAGAGCGGAACGCTCTTTGAAGCCGTCCTGGCACAGCGGGCACAACAATTCCGGCGGTGGCTCTTCCTTTACGGCCTCCGCTTTGTCCTCGGCATCCTGGACATGAGCCACTTGCAAATGCTGCCTCAATTCTTCACGCGACGTCGGCTGATAAGTGCAATACGGGCAGGTGACTTCCTCGTGCTCGTTCTCCGGCTCTTGTTCCGGTTCTTGATCGTTATCCGGCTCCTGCTTCACCTCGCTGCCGCAGTCGCTACCTTCCTCTCGTCGTTCTGCAAAAGAGGTAACAGGGATTCGTCTGGTGATCGACGCAGCGTTATCGAGACTGACGAGTCACGTGTCGCGGGACCAAACGATGACATGTCTCATGATTTTCAGTTTTCACATTCTGCGGATTAATGCGATTCGAGGTAATGCAAAGTACACCTTTCTTGGTAATGCACGGCAAGATTGTGCAGAATTTATGCTTCGACAGATTTTGGCAGAATGATGGGTGTGACGAGATTATGGTGTTGGTACGAAAGATGGATGAGATTTTTTTATTTAACAATTGGAAGATTTCTAACGTATTTTCGTGTTGGTTTTAGAATACGTATGTATTTTCACTGTATTTGCAAATTTATTCGAAGGATGGTGATTTTATTCCAATATTTTTGTCAGGTGTATACTATGGTAAGATATTGCTAACCTTTCTTTGTAAAATCAAATTTGATTTGTGATTATACAATTTTGTTTTGGGGGTGTTTTACTTTGTAGTTATTCCAGAAATACTGAAAATCATGGGATGTTCTGACGTTTATTTTTTGTACTATGCTTGCAAGAAAATTGGGCGAGATTAAGTATTTTTTGGTGTATTAACTCCTTGCACTTGATAGGCAACCTCAGACGTTTCTATTGTTTCGATGTTGCAATTCTTAATGCGATAATTTTTAGTAATTGTAAAAATGATGAAAATTATAAACATAGTACCTCTTCTATAATACATTGTATCAAAATTGTGTTAAACCTAGAACTAATATAATCAAAACATTTTGAGGAAAGAATTTATACTATGTATTATTATGCATTGTTATACAAAAACCGTGTTATAGGAGCACCATCGAAATTTTTGCGTTGGGTTATATCGAACTCATATTTCCAAACCACCATATTACAAAAATCAAGTTTAAACTAATTTAATTATATGAAATATTAAAATATAGCAATTTCATTAGATAATTTATAGACTATTTCTTCTTGTTGTAAAGAATTCATTGTAACACAGTTGTCATTGCGAAAAATTTACTATGTCGCAAACATCGTTGCACAAAATTTACTATACCGCAATCGTCGTTGCAAAAAATTTACTATACCGGAATCGTCGTTGCAAAAAATTTACTATGCTGCAATCGTCATTGTAAAAAATTCATTATGTCGCAATTATCGTTGCAAAAAATTCACTATATCGCAATCGTCGTTGCAAAAAATGTACTATACTGCAATTCTCGTTGTAAAATATTTACTATATTCGCGATCGTAAATTGCGAAAAATTTTCTGCATTCGCGATCATAAATTACATAAAAATTACTGTATTCGCAATCGTAAATTACAAAAAAAATTGCTATATTCGTGACCGTAAATTGCAAAAAATTCACTATATTCACAATGGTCATTGCAAAAAATTTACTATACTGCAATCATCGTTGCAAAAAATTTTCTGTATTCGCGATCGTAAATTCCAAAAAAAATTACTATATTCGCAATCGTAATTTACAAAAAATTCACTATATTCGCAATCGTAATTTGCAAAAAATTCACTATATTCGCAATCGTAATTTGCAAAAAAATTTCTACATTCGCAATCGTAATTTGCAAAAAAATTTCTACATTCGCGATCGTAAATTGCAAGAAATGTCATCAATATTATAGAAAAAAATCTTATTTATATTAACACCAACTTATTTATAATAAACAAAGCTTTCGAGTGCGAAAAGTTAAATATTATTACAATTTCTAATTCGCTATCGCACACACGTATACTAAATATTTGCCAGACGATCGAGAATAAATCGGGGTTACGTTTTTATCGTGGACACGTATCGCTAGGTGCGAACACAATTTATTTTGTAATTCGCGATTTGTATTTACAGGCCGGGTTAATGTTAAGTTCGGAGGCGTTTCAGACACGAACAGTCGCGAACTAGTGAAATCCGGAAATCGACACGGGAACGCGCTGTGCAATTGGGCCGCATTAACGTTAACAGTTTTGATTCGTGCAACATAAATTCCTGTGCCTTAATATCCCGATTACTATCTGCCGATAACGCGAACGTGTAATTCCCCTTTCTATTAAGGTGCCGATAAATCGTCGATCGACACGAAAAATCTTAACAGCCGAAAAAACGGCCATTAATCTTGCAGCTGCATGCGAACAGGGGTATAAGTCGATAATGTTGTGAGAGAAAGTAAATTATGTGTAACGGCAGCGAAAGCATTTCGTCTCCCCGACACCGATTCCTTCTTCGGTCCTCCATCTTGTTCTATACTCGATGAAAATCCTTCTGTCAGCTATGCATGCTTAATTATAGTCAAATTTTGAATTATACAATTTTCTCAAGAAAAATTACGTAATAGACAAATATATCGATGGAATATTTAATTTAATTCTGACATTTTAATTTTAATTTTAGACTGAAAAATTTCCTTCTTGTGTATTATTACACAATTCTGAATGAGATTTTATTATCGAATAATTGTTTTTTGGAAATAGAGTAGAAGCTTGAGAGTTTCAAATTTCTTAGAAAAATTATTGAATTAGATTCAGTGATATTTTTCCAATTAATTGCTATATTTGAATGTTATTTTGCATATGATAAATTTATTTTATTAAATAGATATCGATTTAATTTAAATATATTTATTTTATGTATGCAGCGAATTAGGTATACCAATTTTAATTTTTCTATGTTCTATTATTACAAGATATGTAACATGATGTTATAATTTGTTGAGACATGCAGGTGTGACAACGAGGACTCGTATGAACAATATTTTAAGAACGTTCATCGGACTTAGAAGGCAGAGGATTCAAAAAATTTTTTAAAAATCACTTTGTCCCTATAAATTTAAATTTACTCCACGAAATTTAACTCTAGACTATATGTGTATGTTCATTATACTAATTGTAAGTCCAAGAGATATAGAAATTACGTTGCAAAACCCCAAAAATTACCCAATCAATAATTTTTTAAAAATCACTTTGTCCCTATAAATTTAAATTTAATCCAAGAAATTTAACTCTAGACCATATGCGTATGTTCATTATACTAATTGCAAGTCCAAGAGATATAGAAATTACGTTGCAAAACCCCAAAAATTACCCAATCAATAATTTTCCAAAACCTTCGAACGACCAAGATTTTCAGAAAATAAATTAAAATCTCCTATATTTCTCCCAAATTATGCTATAGTATCCACCAGTTACACGATAATCCTGTATCAAACATCGATGAAGCTAACGATTCACCATCTCTCCTACAACCCCATCGAAACGGAGATAATGGTTTCCAAAAGTGAAAACAAAAATCACGAAAATACACTCAACTACACTACTGATCTCACTAAACTCACCAACAATCAAAAGAGAAAAAAAGAAAAAATGTATGTACATCATACTAAACCAAAGAGACATAGAAATCACATTGGAAAATCCCAAAGATTATGCAACCAAAAATTTTCTAAAATTTTGGAACAACCAAAAATTTTAAAAAATAAATCCAACCTTCCACTATTTCTCCGAAATTATGCTATAGTATTCATCAGTCACACGATAATCCTGTATCAAAGGTGGATGAAGCTCACAACTCAGATTTCGTTCAAACAAAGTGACAAACAAACCAAACCCCGATCACAACGGAGATTTCGGTTCAAAAAAGCGAAAACAAAAATCACGAAAGTACACTCAACTACACCACTGATCTCACTAAAACCATTAACAACTAAAAAATAAAAAAATTCTGTAAAACAACCCTAAACCTTCCCCACCTATGACAACAGCAAAATTCTTCGGGAATTTAGCATTCGTGAAAGAAGCCATGGCTCTTCGTCGAGCAGTAGGTTGGAGGTAAAGGAAATACGCGAATGAAGCGTATGACTCACGATCACTGGCATAATCTGGCCGCAATCGAGGTGGAAGGGCAACGCAGCCCGGGTGCGGGCCACGGAAGACAACGTGAAAGAGTTTCGGTAACGACGAAAACCGGCGAGGGAGGGCGGCGTGCAGACGTCGCAGATGCTTCCTTGTCCGGCCGTAACAATACCATTTGAAATTACAGATTGCCGACGCGAAATTATCGACGGGGGAAAATACGCATGGCCGGAGGAGAGAGCAAGACGGTGCATAAAGGAAGACCGCCTATTCGCGTGGTCTGCCATTGTCCGAAACCGCATTTACATCGAACAGGCGTCAGTTGCGAGGGCAAAACGCGACGATGCTACGCGTGCTGCTGCTTTCGCTTTTGCACACGGCAGCGCTGCTGCTCGATGGCCATCCCGTCACTCCGCGAGGGCGCTCGTGTCTTCGCTCTTCCTTTCTTTTCTTTTCTTTTGCTTTTCGAAGCTTCGTGCAGAATCGAATGTTTCGTGAATTTTTTAAGCACAGTAGTGTCCCGAATAATGAAAATTACAATACTGCAATGCATTGAATGGAAGTGACTATTGTTTTCGTATAATACGATTCCTCGAATACTGTGGTTAATACAGAAGTGCCTTTCGGGATTTTAATTGATTTAATCGATTGGAAATATATAGCGAATTTGTTGATAAATTTAGCGTTCGTGTCTTTACTTATCTTTTTCTTTCTTTCTTTTTTCGAAACTTCGTGGAGCATCGAATGTTTCGTGAATTTGATGACGAATTTGGCGCTCGTGTCTGCACTCATTTTTCTTCGAATTTTTGTGAAGAATTGAACGTTTTGTGAATTTTTAGGCACAGTAGTGTCCCGAATAATAAGAATTATAATACTGCAATGCATTGAATGGAGGTGACTATTGTTTTCGTATAATACGATTCCTCGAATACTGCGGTTAATACAGAAATGCCTTTCGGGATTTTAATTGATTTAATCGATTGGAAATATGCAGCGAATTTGTTGATAAATTTAGCGTTCGTGTCTTTACTTATCTTTTCCTTCCTTTCTTTTTTAAATCTTCGTCAAGCATCGAATATTTCGTGAATTTGATGACGAATTTGACGCTCGTGTTTTCATTCATTTTTTCTTCGAATTTTTGTCAA